ATAATGTAGCAAATTATAGAGGAATAGCATTTCTTAATACATCAGCTAAAGTCTTTACAACACTCCTGTATAACAGAATTAAAAATTGGGTTGATCAAAACAACATATTAAGCGAATTTCAAGCTGGATTTCGAAAAGGTTACTCCACGGTAGATAATATTTTCGTCATCACTAGTGTAGCGCAAAAAGCAAGAAGTTATATGTTTTTTATGAAGATCTTAAAGCTGCTTTCGATACAATACAAAGAAACGTACTATTTTACAAACTAAGCCAGCTGGGTCTTTCAACAAAAATTTTGAAAATACTGCAAAGTTATATTCTGCAACAATCAGTCAACAGTATGGGACGGAAGAAGTACATCGAGATGGTTCCAAACGTGTACCGGAGTGAGACGAGGTTGAGTCTTAAGCCATATATTGTTTGCACTGCTTGTTGATGACTTAAGTAAATTTCTTTCTGGTGGTGTAATAATTGCCAACATGTGCCTAAAAGTACTATTATATGCTGATGATATTGTGTTGTTTGCAGATTCTTCAATAATGTTACAAAATATGATAGATGAATTAAATATATATTGTAACTTATGGGGATTATATATAAACACAGACAATTCAAAAGTAATGATATTTAAGAAACATGCTAGAAGATGGAGAAATGATGAAAAATGGTAACTTAACGATGATCAATTAGAAGTGGTTAATAATTATAAATATCTAGGAATAAATATGAAATATAACGCGAAGTTCAATAACCACTTGAACGAGAAGTTAAAGGAAGCTAAATTGGCTAATAATTGTACCTGGAAAAATGTCTTGGGAAATCCGAAAGTGTCACTCCCCGTAAAATACAAAGTTTTTGAAGCCATAGTTAAATCAGTTCTAAATTATGCAGCGCAAATCTAGGGTGTGGATAAGTATGATGTAGTAGAAAAATAGCAGACATTTTATATAAAGAGAACATTTCGTCTTTGTATATTCTGCGCAAAGTACAACCAATGCATGTTAGTATGGATTGAGTCAAAGCGGCCTATATTTGATACGAGGAGCAAGATACAGAACACTTCAAGCCTAAGTCCCCAGAAGTAAAACCTCAATTTGCACAACAGTTTTTCAACTCAGTTGAAATCTTACAAAAAATTAGTAGTTGTTATATTTCGTTTAGAGAATATGACAACAATGACCGCACAATCAATATGTACTTATATATTGTTAGATTACTTAATAATTTGTTTTTAAAAATTTTTAAGAAAAAAAGCAGCATCAAATGGTTGTCTTTTTTAAGTATATAGTTTAATATTTATTTAATATTTAATATTATACATGCGTTATTTACAAGCATATTAAAAATAATACGTAAATTGGCTGTATATTATATTTTACAAAAATAATTATTGTTATGTGCTTTTTACTTTTCAACGCACATACACTACTTTATATTTTAAAACGCACAAATAATAATTATTTTTGCCTCTTTAATAGAAAACTTAAAAATAACTATTATTTTTAAAAACAAAATATAACTGACACGTCCAGCGTTTTATATTTCAAAACAGAAAGTAAAACGTTTTTCTGTGTGTTGTAGTTGTTTTTGTGATTTAATACAAAATGTATGACAGGGTTGGTGTAGGTGAAGAGTTAGTTTTGAAAACAAAAAACTAAACAGTACTTAACAAGTAAATATAATTAAACAAAAACTAAATTAGAAAAGCCAATGCAATACAAGTGTACTAGGTGGACCGATAATTACCTGACTTCACAACAGGTAGCAACGCCACAACAAAATTAATCGTATTTTATATATCTGAAGAGCGAAAAGAAAGCTGTAAAACTTTCGACTTCATCAGATCTGTGATCAGCTTTTTGCAAATAATTGCAATAATGCAGCTTGGTAACTTTTCCTACATTGTTAGGCACAATACCGATGAACGTCCGGGTCGTCTCAAACAGGTCACAATTAAAAAAAAACTTCAAAAATCTACGATATTGTGCTAGATGATTCAAAATTGCGCGAGATCGCAGAGGTGACAAACATATTATATGAACGTGTATTGAATATTTTACATGAATATTTGGATATAAAAAAGGTTTCGGCACGTTGGGTGCCGCGTCATGTGGTCATTCAAAAGATTGTTTGCAAATGATTAAGCACAATATAGCTGCCTGTGAATGTCGAGTAATGACAATGGATGAAATATGGATCCATTACTTCAATCTGAGTGGAAACAACAAGCCAGAGAATGGGTAAGGCTCGGGGGTAGTGCTTCACGAAGTTGTTGTATTGAAACAATAAGAATGTATAGTGACAATGGACAAAATTCGAGCAACTATGAAATTTTACTTCACTTTATGAAAAGGACACAATGTCAACCAGTGGAGATTAAAAGTTCATGCGGTATTACTGGTAACGATCCACGTCTGAATCCGCTCAGCAAGTCACTAATTGAAATTATGGGTCCAAAATGTCAGCTTAAGATTCTCGCTTTAGTACATGAATCGTCATCAGTATCCATGTTAACTGCTAATATCGCATATCAAATTAGTCATAAAGATAAGAGGCAACCCTAAAAACGGTAGTGGTATGATGAATAAAGGACGCAAGACTTAACGGTGTTGAATATCAATATATAAATTGTGGCAACTGAAGAATCTCAACCCCATCTCAACTCTTCAATAAAAAGCGATTTGTTTTTGATTAGTTTATTTGCTTTATTTATGTTTATATACGTCACTTGCTATGTGAAAATACATAATTTAAAATTAACTAAGCTTAGTACTATTTATATTAAAACAATATAATAAAACAATAATATATTGTATTTCACATTGTAAGCAAATTGTTTTATTACATTCATGTAAAACTTTGAAATATTTGTTTTTTTATTTTCAAATTTTCCGAAACACATTACATTTTTTATATTTTTCATTTCCTACCATGCAGCACCTTCTTGTAAGCAGCGCATAAGGTCTAATGGCAGCTCTTGCTCTGCAATAGGGCCCGTTTATGAGCGTGAGCCATCATGTGAAAAGAGTTTCTTACCTGCTCATGAGCTGTGAGCAGAATGAGCCGTAAAGAACTGGTCATGGGTACGCAAACATGAACTCTGTATTTGACACATTTGTTTGGCTTTGTTTTAAAAATCGCCTTTTATACTCTTCACCTGATTCTTAAGATTAATCGTGCTTTTGATATTTATTAGTTTCATAACTTTTTCTCTCGTATACTCATATGGTTGCAAGTTTTGTAGCATTGTTCATACTATTACTATTACTTAGTTTATTGTTATAGCTGTGTTAAATAGTTTGTCTAAGTGTACATCTATCTATAATAATTGTAGTGTGCATTTTGTCTACAATATTATGATCAATTTAATGAGTCCATAAAAACCCAAACCTGTATATATTTCTTTGCAAGTCCACAGGTATTAACTTGTAAGAAAACGATACAGCAAAATGACATCATCATTTGTTTTTAAACATAATAAATATTCAACAATTTAATTAAAAAATTAGGTAGAGCATAACTCAAATAATTATTCATTTTTAATATTAGGGTAAACAATGCAGTGTCATCCAACGTTTGTTTCTTAAAACTATAAATAATTTTTTTTTGGTTACGGCGATTTGGTAATTCTGCATCTTTCTTGCATCTTAAGTGTTTTAATTGATAAAATTATTATACAAACCTATTTTGTAAAATACAGCCTACTGATTGCTTAATATTAATCTAAGAGTGTATATACTATACAGTAGTGAGGCGTCAGCTTTTTGGCAAGGTGTTCACAATTTGATCAAAACAGAATTCCAACTATAACGTATTCCCTCTACTTCTGAGTTTTGTGCTTTCCACAAGCAAATAGCGTACAAGACCAACAAAACAATTTATTTAAATGTTCGCAGCCTGTGATCCACTGGTTTTTATGGTAAATAGCTGTAGGAAAACGGCGACTTACCACAGATTTCGACATTTTTACATCAGGTACCAAATTCTTCATAAAACCTTTTTGTAGAAGATCGTTTAAAAAAAGATGTTTGTATCAAATCTTTAATCACACATTTATCCATTTCTAAATATTATTTTTCACTTCAAATTTCTTTAATTTTTTCTTTATTTTTACCATTTGCTAGTATAAAATTTCAATAATGACTTTGTTTTTGGTTTATTTCCAACCTCTACATAAGAGTTAGAAACTCTCATGCATTAATTTACTCTTTTACTTTGTATTTACTATGCGCGGTTCAGTTTTTTTACTGAACCATTTGCTCATATAAAACAGCAACCGTGGCTTTGATTGTATTTGCACGTTTTGTATGAACTTGGGGTTCAGTTTAGTTGACTGAACCTGTAGTCAAATGTAAAGCGATTTTCGCTCAGTCATTTTTTTCTCTTTTGTATTTACTTTGCATAATAAAGTAAACCGCTTGCACGCATTAATTTAAGAGTTATGATTATTTTACATACATATTTTGCGGGGCTTGTTTTCTCTTTTATTTTTATATTTGTTTGTATGTTCTGTGTTCATTCAATATTTAACATAATCTCAATGTGAATGTTATTCCATTGGCATGCTTTGTAAGCAGCGCGGTGGAGTTTTTATTCTGAACCTTAGTATATTTTAAGAGGAATGTGTTTTCTCTTTTATTAATTATAAGTAATGTTGGGTGTAACTAACATATTTATTGTGATTTTGTTTGTATTGTGCGTTTTGTGTTTATGTTAATCTGTTTGGAAAAGCTATTATAAAAATTGTTAAGTAGCAAAATAGCGAGATTATTTACCTAATAAAAAAAAAGATCTAAAAGGGAAGCTTTGTTAAAGTGTTCAGTGAACACTCTAACCCATATGACGCCTCGCCTCTGATATTATACTATGACCTCATTAATTTCACAGTACACAAATCTGATATGGGATACAATTACTTATTTATTTGCAATAGTTTTAATTTAAATGCATTAAAAAATTAAATTAAATACATACACAGTTTACAAGAATAAGTAGTAAAATTGTAAGACACAAAAATTGCACATGCGTCGCAAACATATCCGACCCGGACAATTCGGATGTAATGTCATTACGGCTTTTGTACGCATCGCAATCTCCTTGCGATTTAATTTTTTAGTCAGATTTGCTCGAGAAAATTAATCACAATGGCATTGCTCAGATAGACAATCTGTCTCAGAATTATATCTATAGTATAAAACTTTCCCAAAATAACAAATATCCATATTTTTTCGGTTTTAGTTCTGATGAAGAGTCTTGCTTGACATTTTCGTTTTTCATTCAGTAATAAACCCTGGACATATTTCTCTTGAAGTACCAAAGACTAACCTAAATTTAATATATCTTAGGCTAAATTAAAATTTACAGAGCTCAGTCTTTGTTTAATTTCTTAACCAGAAACATACATACCTGTAAAACTATTTTCTCACTTATAATCTGTAGTTGTTTAATCACTTCATCAACGTGTTTTTCGTGTTTAAAAATGTGATGTTTGTTGTCCGAAGTAAACATATCTGGAGACAATTCTGGCATGGATTCATTATTAGCACTAAAACGAATTAAATTTCTGTGTTCGGTAAATCATAATTTCAAATCGTTAATATCAAATAATAAATAAGCTTCTGATTTATTTTGTAATAAAGTGTAAAGAGGAATTAGTTAAAAAGATCATAGCTACTATGCAGACCAGACATAAATAATTTTCAATGTCAACAATTATTACATTATAAACCCTTTCGATTTAAAATAGATATCAGTATGAACGAATAATCAGTAACGAACGATCATATGATTAAATTGAAGGTATATGATTAAAATCGTGTATTCCATGAAAAAATCAATTGTTTAGTAAAACATAAAACGTCATTATTGCCTTCAATTTAATTAATTTGTCGCCTTCAAAGTAGGTACCTCGATGGTGAATACAATTATGCTAGTGCTTGACAGACTTTTTTTTATAAATTTTGTACCCTTCAGTGACTTGAGAATCTGAGACACTATTTTAAAAGTAGTATTTCTAACTTCGGGTACAAGTCACGCAAGTTTAGTATAATTCTTGTCCGATTAAAATTGTCGAGTTTTTTTTTTAAAAAAATTTACAAAACAATAGCATAACATTGACAAGTATAATTGCAAACACAAATAAAAAACGGCAGTATCATTTTCACTCGCTTTACAATTCACAAATTGCGGGTACAGAAAATATATCAACTATCTCTAGTAAAGCTAAGTTTGGTTATGTTTGCTGTTAAATATGCAGTTGAATAAAAGCTTTGTGAATTAATTATTTAATTTCCATCCAGAGAGGTTTGGCTGTCAGGAGGCCCTGGGTGAGGGTCTAGAAGTTTTTACCGATAATTCGAAAATTGGGGGTGGTGCAACAAGAGGTTTCTCAGTACGGCTGAGTTTGTCCTCTTATTATAGACTTCCAGATCACTGTAGTGTTTTTCAGGCAGAAGTGACTGCTATAGAAGAAGCTTTATCTTATCTAGAAGCATATAATATATTTGAAAGGAATATATATACTATCGGATAGTTAAGCTGCTTTAAAGTCCTTGAACTCAGTCGAATTTATATCTAGAACAGTCTTTGACTGCTACACATCTCTAAATGAGATTTCGATGGGTGGGTTCATAATGATATTTTCGGCAATTGCAAAGCAGACAAGTTAGCCAGATAATGTACTTCCGGAAACCACTCGGAACACCTAACTGGTATTGAGTTCTTCCTGCGCTGAACTTTTTAATAAAAGATGGAAATACTCTATGATATGCAGGTAACTGTATGTAATATGATCACACAAATAGAAGGAAATCGAACTCTCTCATAGAGATGCCCCGTGTAGGGATATCAGTCTTACAGGAGGTTTACTTACAGGCCATTGTCTTCTAGGTAACCATGCTGGGAAACTAAATCTCCCTTATATATCTGCCGCATATCTTATATCTGCCGCAGTTGTGCTGAGGATAATGAAAGTGCTTCCCACCTGCTTTGCTTCTATCCGGCACACGCTCGGCACTGCCTTAACATTTTAGGGGCTTCCTTTTTTGTGGATCTTGGCGAACTTCACCTCCCTTTAAATAGCATCATAAGCTTTTCCAAAGTTTTTAGATGATTTTAACCTTTGGGTTTTTAAAAATACGGTATACGGTAATACGGTATGGGCCTATAGGCCTAAGTAGGTACCCCTAGGATCGCCGGTATAATCTAACCTAATCTAATTATTCAAATTTCCGAAATTTGGTGTTCGTTCAAAGACTCAAGATGAATATAAAAAAAAATCATATGAGAGCTAACTATCGATATGATTGGTATAGAGTAGTTATAAGGCGATTTATATTCGTGTATTTACTATACCATATTTAAAAAAAGTAATAGATATTACTCCAAACTGAATAATAGCAATTTCGTTTCAAGTTAATTTTTTTTTTAAGTTGAAATCTAGAATTTATAAACATAAACTTACCATTTTGTTTCTGAAGATAAAGATGATATCACTGCACTCTCGAAGCTCACAACAGAGTTACTAGATCTTCCATTTAGTATTGAGCTTGGAAATTTATTGCTTGATTGAGTATGCAGCAATTTGCTTGTATCGGAGTGTGAATGAAGACTGATAGAACTTTCTTGTTGTTCAAAATTGTGAACATTTTGATCATCGCAGGGCAAAGGTGTAGTTGATATTGTAATACGTTGGGTATTGCAATTGTTTAATAAACCATCTTGGCTTGATTGAAAATTATGATCAATACAGTCATCTAATTTGTCCTTCTTGTCGGCATTGGCCTGCCTTTTGCTCTGATATTGTTGTGAATATTCTGGGTACGTGTTACATTTTTTTTTAGATACTGAGTCCATTAAGTCTTTTATGTCATTGCGTGAATTCTTGGAACTTCCATTTTTGCCATTTAATTGCTGTTTACTTTTTACACTTGTCTTAGATAAGCGTCTTGTTTTTTTTAAGCGACTTTTAGTATGTAAATCAAACTCCTTTTGCTCATTCGACTGCAAACAAAAAAAACTTATAAGATAAAATTTATTTGTCAAATATGGCACCTAATTATTATTGCTTAAAAATTTTTATAATATGTAGTATCAGTTTATTTTGTAAAAAATAAAAAACACAATTCGGTAATAGCAAGTATTTTTCTAAGAAACAGTTATCCCTCGGTAGCAATACAAGAATTAGAATAAAAAAACTAGTGAAATTGTTTCTTTGTCTGAATTTACTTCATTTGAATTTGTTTAAAATCTTTAATTTTTAGGAATTCGTATGGACTTCCCTGCTACTTTTTCTGTACTTCAATTAAGCTCAAAATAAATGCAAAATCTTGTCAGAAAATACGAAACAATTATCTAAAACATATTAATTTATGGCTAACACGTTACAAACTACTTACATTATATTCGCAACATTTCATCATTGCATCAGTTATTTTACATATATGGTGCAAACAACAAAATATTATGATTTACGTATGCACAAGTGGAATGTCCGAACCTTCTATAGGGACGGTGCATGGATACAGGTGCCTAGTGGAAGCTCCTATTAAATGTAGGGCTGACATCATCGTCATCTACATGGGAAATTTAAGCGCGGTACACTCTAGTTCGTTGCACCTTATTTCCTTATGTTTTAAGTGTGTTAGACGTACGTTGGTACAAATACCGACTGGATCATTACCTACACATGTTCTCGTGCACAGAAAACTGTGGGGTTTAATCCCCCACAGTGGAAGATAGCGCAAATTTTCATGATACTGAAACCAGGGAAAAGCCTAGAAGATGTCAAATCATATTGCCCAATAAGTCTACTTCCGATCCTGCTGAAAATTATGGAAATGCTGTTTCTAAAGTGCCTTACACCGATTATCCAACAAAACAGACTCATCCCTGACCATCAATTTGAGTTTCGCCAAAAACATAGCCCAATAGAACAAATTCATAGACTTGACTGACATGTCCATAGTGCGATAGATGGTAAGTAAAATTGCACTGTGGCACATATAAATATTTCACAAGCTTTGATCGAGTGTGGCATGAGAGCCTTCTTTTCAAACTAAAACTAAATCTACCCCTAAATTTTTTCATATTTATTGAATCAAACCTCTCGGCAAGGTGTTATGAGTCGAAATGTTCATACTATCATAAGACATGCCTAAAAGTAGGCAGCGTCGTTTTGTGGCTTGCACAATAGCAGTAACCAAGGTCAGCTTGACGGCAAGAAATGCTGATTTTCGGTTTCTTGTTAATTGTGTCAAGCTGACAGCGACATTAAAATAAGTAATTAAAAGTTGCGATAATATTGAGTGCAACTTAAGTTATTGACGTTTTTGCTATTAAATAATAATTAAAATTAGGTAATGGGGGTACCTTGAAATTTCGGCATCCAGCATAGGTAAGACTTTTTATTTAAAAGACAGAAAACAGAAGTCAGTAGTTCAGTTGTGTTTTGTCAAATTGCGCTTTGACACTTGAGTTCTGAAAAGCCGAGGGTTCAGAAGACATAGGTTCAGAAGACATTTTAGTAGTATTTAATTGTCTTTAATGTATTAAGTTTTTAGTGGTTAAATACAACCAAGGGTTGTATAATAAATGAGAGTGACTAAGTTAATTATAAACACTTTTGTAAACTAAAATTAGAAATATATATTTGATAAGTGGAAAGATAATTTCATTGGAAAATCTTGACTGAAATATTATAGTCTGATACGGAACGTTGGTTTGCCAAAATTAATAAAACAGAAATGATATTATTCAAGCTAAATTAACTGTTGTTAAAATTTAATAGGTGAACAACAAAACTTATTTAACTGAGTTAATAACCACAGTGTTTATTTAAAAATTATATTATTTGTAATGTTATGAAGAAAAACCACAACTCATCATCAATTAAACCACAAGTTATTGGATTTCGGCATTCGTAAGGAACCCACAAAGACATTAATATTCTTCCTCAATTTAATACACTCAGGAAACCACAACATAATTTTTCATTAAGCATGATAACGAATTACAAAGAATTACGCTCATTGCATATATATGAATCCAAACCCTCTGGTTAAACACCTGATATTCCCCTTCAACACTTTTACAAGGCTAAAAAGAAAAACATCGAGAGACGTTTTAAATAAATATATGTAGGTCACACAATTCTATTTTCATTACATATGGATATGTCACTGGACATAGTCCATACGTGCCTTTCTGTTTTAGATAGTAATAACTATTATTACGATTCATGTTAATATATATCACTTATTGTCATTCATACCTGACATATTGTAATAAAATAAATGGGTTATAAAAAAAAACTCTCTTGCTGATTAATTAATCAATTGATTGGTCCCGATAATGCCGAGAGCTAATGGGGACATATCTCTCACTTTTTGCGCACTACTGTGAAAGATGTTCTTGCTGTCCCTCACCGTTGAACCATTGGTACGATGAGGAGCGTTGCCAAACCACGTGTACGAACAATATCGAGAAATGATAATTAAAGAAAGGTGCCTATTAAGACGGAAGAAATGAGATCAAGAAAGGCGCGAGCGAGAGGAAATCGAAAATGCGTAGAAACAGGAATGTTGCCTGTAACTTTTACTAACTGCCTGACTGAAGGCCTTAGGCCTGGAATTTTAAACTGTAAAGACGAAAATGGTAATTCGGTTGGAAATTATTATCTGGCGACAATAATAACAACTCTTTTTTTAGAGAAATGATCTCGATGCTCTCAATTGAAATGATTATATTGAAATTCCACCTATCCATAACGAAGTGCATGTTGCTATACACCGACTAAAAAACAACAAAGCGACAAGAACAAATGGCCTACCTGTAGAACTATTGAAGGCCTGCGGTGATGCGCTGATATTGAATATGCATCAGCTTATCTACAAAATATGTTTGGAGTCTCTCACTGTTGTTTGGTATGAATAAGTACTTTGGGTATATATTGAGCAAATAAGTTTTTATACTCACCAAAACAACTTAACGATAATATGGAACTTAAAAGTTAAGTTTTGTAGATTTAAGATTTTGAAGCGAGGTTTTGACTGGAAGAGTTGGTATTGTGATATTTGATTCATCAAAACCAATTCATTATAAAAACGGCGTGGTCTTTTGATAGACTTCTATAAGCTAAAATCATGTTTGTTATATTTTTGCAATTGTTTCTTCTTTCATTAATTAAATTTTTTATATCTTTTTGGCACCAAACGTGAAACAAAATATTTGTGAAGTGCATATTTTCAAATTATCATAATCAAATTATTTACTAACAATTTCAAGGCTAACGTTGCCTGCAAGTTATTCGATATATTCGAATATATTTTATGTAGTTCAATTTCAAAGCTAAAGTCACCCGTAATTTAATTGATGTATGCATAAGTTTTTTTTAAAGCTAATTCGTCGTTTTTGTTTCACTCCCGGTTGTTTACGGTTGTTTCTGCAATTACTTATGTTAGCTGCTTGCGTTTATACTTTAATTAATATTACTGCCGCTGCCAGCTAAATTAGCTCTGGATTTTATTGCTGTTGCTGCTCACTACTCTCACCTATGCTAAGTTTAAATAGCTAATATGTTAATATATGTAAGATATTATTGTTCGCAATAGTTTCCTTTAGAAGTTTTTTTAAATGTAAATAAACATGGCACTTTATTTGTCATATTTGCCATTCCCATTATTTTTTTATCTTACGCTCCGCTTCGGTACATTATTTATTTTCTCCGCCTTTCGCTAGTCAGCTAACTGTCGCTTTCTCCACCGTTCATGGTTGTTTTTCTGTGTTGTTAATTTGTTTGTTGTACCTGCCAGCCCAAAGCGACTTTGCTTTGTCCGTCGACGTTCATATTGTCTTCTTTATCGTCATCCGTTTCGCTGCTATTGTCCCCGTATGGTAACCGGCACCACATTTTGATCTTGTCGAATGAGTAGACATACATATACGGTCGCTAGGTCCTCTTGGAGTTAGGCAAATCGTTGACTACATATCGGTCTTTGTCAAGGACTTTGGTAATAATAAATGGGCTTATATAAAGTGACACGACTGTTCGTTTTATTCGGAGTATTCTGTTCGTTTTGGAGTAATACCAAGGCACTTTTCTTAAATTTCGTTCGCTGTAAATCGACTTTTAGTTTGTTCATCATTTACTCGTTCCGCAATCATTCTCGCGTATTTTCTAATTGATCGGTAGTCAGAACATAGTCATTATGTAAAGTTAAAACCATTGCAATTGGGAGTATATTATGAGATTGATAATAATATAGCAACTTGAATGGGGTGTATTTCGTTGTCGCATTCGCCATAGTATTGACACACCATTACATTCGTTGGTAACAGTACCGATAATATTGTTCGATTGATTGATCGGCATGAGCTTTTAACTACACGATTGTTAACGAAAATTGCAACAAAGTAAAACGCTCTATTTTAGAGGAACGTTATAAAGCACGGAACGTTATTTTTCAGTCATTCTTGTTTGACTCGTGCTTTGTGCAATGATGCTGAGTCCTGTTGAAACGTCCAACACCTGCGATCGAGACTGCTTTGTGGTGACCATTCAGCTGATCTCTCTAATAAGTAAACTCGATCATTTTGCTTGTTTACGCACTGCTCAATTACGAGTGGTGACTCATCAGAAAAAGCCGAATTCAGTCACACACCACTTTCGACCAATGAACCAACACTTTAGTACTTTAGCGACTTTAACTTGTTTTGCACATCGGCAAATAAACATTTTATTTTTCTACATAATCACTTTTTAGCTCGATACATTTAGTCCAGCGTTTTTCTAATTTTCTTATTCCCTCCAAATAAAAGGTTTTATCAAATCTCTCAAAATACGCATTTGTTTCGGTAATGACTTCTACATTCGACTCAAATCTCATACCGCCCAGCCAGGTTTGGAAACAGAAAATAGTCGCAGGGGATAAATCTGGAGAATATGCTGGATGAGGCAGTTAGTATCCCAATTCATGGATTTTGACCATCGTGACTAGACAAGTGTGCACACGTGCATTGTCTTGATGGAACAGCACTTTCTACTTCGCCGATTGCGGCCGTTTTTGCTTCAAACCAACGTCGAATCTGTTCAAAAGCTGTGAATAATGTTCGCCGGTGATCGTTTTACTTTTCTCGAGGTAATCGATGTGAATGACACCGCTTGCGTCCCAAAAAACTGTGACCATGACCTTGTTGGCTGGCAGATCCTGTTTGGCCTTATTTGGTCCACGTTCACACCTAGCAACCCATTGTTTCGATCGTTCGATCCATGTTTCGTCCACAGTAACAAAACGGCGCAAAAATGCGTTCGGATTACGGCTGGACATCGCTAAACACTGTTTTGAAGTGGTTACACGATTCCGCTTATGGTCGAGTGTGAGCAATCGCGGCACCCATCTCGCGGAGAGAAAATATAATGTTCACGTGTTGTTGAGATACCTACAACATGAGCCAACTTACGCACTTTCATTCTCCGATCATCTAATATCATTTCATGGATTTTATTGAGGATTTCCGGTGTGATCACTTCCTTTGGGCGACCTGAACGTTCGGCGTCACTAGTGCTGGTACGACTACAACGGAACTCTGTAAACCATTTCTTAACCATTGAAATTGATGGTACCGAGTCCCCGTAGTATTTATCAAGTCTTTCCTTAGTTTCAGTGATGGATTTTTCACATAAAAAGTAATTAAGCATTACTTCAGCACACGAAATTCACTTTTTTCCATTTTCGTAAAAATTCCATAGGTTGTCTGCTTTGAACGGCTATCAAACACCAGCTGAACGACGCAGCTAGCTCAAAATTAGAAAGTTGCTCACTGGTAGATTATTACTGATGCCAGCACTGTTGCATTTGGAGTAACTGCGCGGGAAATTCAAAAAGTCATTGACTTGTCAAACCGCCCTCGTATATGTAAAAAACGAAATAAAATTTAAAAATAAAGTTTCAAAAATGAATAATTATTTTTTGCAATTATAGGTAAGAAAATTTTAATTTACATAATTGTAAATAAAATTTTCATTTTCAGCCTTTTTCTGTGAATTAAAAGAAATTGAGTATTATGTGTCAAATATTTGTTAACAGTAAACTGGAAATTTTGTACGTACTTCCAAATATCGTTAAAAATTGACGAATTTTTGGTCTTGGCAAATATATAAAAATATTTAAAATATATTTATATATATAATATATTTATTTTATATTTTATTTATATTTATTATAATATATTTATTTATAATTTTATTCTTGAGTATTTTTATTATTATTTTTACGTATTTCTAATTATTAAAATAATAATTCTTAATAATTCTTTTATTATTATTTTTTTAATAATTTATATTACTCGTTTTCTTTCTTTCTTTTCTTATTTTACTAATTAATTAATTTTTCAAAAAGGTCTGAATGATTGTTTTCATTAAAATATTTCAAAAACACGAGAATAAATTTAATCAATTAATTCTCATACAAAAAAAAATATGCCTCCTCGACAATATAGTGGCTTGTATTCACGCCTGTCACTCGGAAAAAAGAGGTTCTATTACCCATTGAGGAGCTATGAATATAATTTATCAATTAAAAATTTGATTTTTCAATAATTTATTTAACTACTAATAAAGCGTATAGTGCTGTCAAAAAGTAATATATTGATAATTATAATAATAATAATATACCTATATAAAATAAATGAAACCAATTAAAGAATTTAATAATTTATTTTTATTTCATTATTTATAAAGCGTATAACGCTATCAAAAATAAATTTTGAAATTTTATGGTATGTTTTACTAGAATTTCCGAGTTGATGATTTGATTATGTATAAGAGAAGATCACAGAAGAAAGGTGTTATTTCTAATTTAAAATTAAAATGTAATTCAGCAATACTTATAATAAAATTTAATATAAATTTAATCAATTATTTTTATAAAATTATTTATAAAGTTTATACCGCTGCCTAAAATAAAGTTGAACACAAAATTTCTAAGTAAAATTTAATGGTATTATAGCATTTTTTCTGTACTTGAACGGAATTAAAAGCACAGAGGCTATGTATAAATTTGAAAATTATTTATTGTGTTCTGTTAATTTCCTTAATCAGGAAACTAGAAACTTCTTCTTGGAAAATAATTTTCTTAATAAAATTTTCCAAATTATGTATTGTCAATATATTTGAATTGTAGTCCAGCTTACTGTGATTATTGAGAATATCGACGGCTACAGTATGTTCTAGAATACTTTGAGTTGATGATTCAATAGCCAGAGTGAAATAAAAAAAAAAAAATTTTGTAAATATTCTATAATTAATTATAAGCGAGTACCTTATATTTATATTTATAAGTATCTAGTTAGTTATAGTAATTTTGTAATTAATTTTAATTATCTAATT